GGTGAGGCAAAGACATAAAGTGTAACTATAATGTTTGTATCCTCACAATACCCTGGAATAAAAAAAAAAAAATCCTATATTTTTGCTTTTTCACATTTCATGAAACACTTTAAGCTTTTCTCATAGAACATTGCTATCAATGTCTTATTTCAATAAGGCCAATTTTTGAGTCACCCAAAATTGTTCCGCAGGGCATACAATCTTCCATCTACTTTATTTGATATAATATATTATCTATTATCTGTGCCTCTATTGCTACCACTGGGTTATTCATCCCAGTTATAGCGACCTATTAGGTTAGGAACATTATTTACGTAATTGAGTATTCTGATTTGCCCTGTCAATTTCTATTCATGAAATATAGGTGATTTTAAATAAATAAAATGCTTATGTTTCAGAGGAAGCATCACTCTAGACTCTGTGAAGCCTAGTACTTGGGATCCTTTATTTTGGGGCTCCCTAGAAGGGGCTAGATCTGATCCAGGGAGGTCTCATACTCTTGGTCTGGGTACATGGGGAATGGGAAGGCAACCCAGGCAAGAGGGCTCTTGCACAATGCTGAATTCTTATTTGAAGTATTTGTTTTTTCATTTGACTTTTTTGTTTTAATATTTCTATTGAAGTTGATATTCCATCTACTGACAATGATAGGAACATCTCTAATACAAGTAACAGAACTTCCAATGTGGTAGTCATTTCTCTGTGAAGAACAGAGCAAGTATAATAATATTCATTCTGTGCCAGGCACCATGTTAAACACTTTACATTCACTGTCTTAATTCAATCCTCCCAACTTCCCAACGAAACCTGTATCTTGTATATGAGGAAACAGAGACCAAAGACTTTCCTCTAGAGCTAGCTTCTAAGCAATGGAACTGCATCTGTCCCCAAGTCCAACTGAATCTACATTCTCCACTGCCACATGAGCCTTTTCCTTCAGTAAAAAAAAAAAGTGACAGGAAAGACATCTGATATGTTCTTAATTCCCTAGAACACAGCTTCTTCCTCAGTGACTTTTAATGAAATGAAGCCTTACAAATGAATACTCACCTTTATCATGAACCAACTGCATTGTGTAGTCATTATGATTAAAGTGTCTTTTCCCCTATCACATCTTGACAGCATGGAGTGGCAGACTGACATCTTATTTAGCTCTGAGGGCACAGTTCATTGTAGGTACTCAATAAGTGTTGACCAAGTGAATGATTTAACCAGAACCATCCTTAAAATATAGTGGTTGCTAGTCCCTAGGCATGGCACATCCAAAATCTTTCTCCGGTGCAATACTGCTACCAGCTGAGTTAATGTTCTACTTTTGGGGAAGTTCCTGGGGATCAGTCCCCAGGATACACTTGCTGAGCCCCTCTTCTGACTGCCCACCCTATGTGAGCAGAAAAGAGCAAACAGAAGAATAAGACCTGTTGTCTGCTTTTAAGAAACTTATGTTAGTTACTTTGGTTCAAACCAAACTAAACTTCAGAGCAAAATCCAAAATGAAGCCATTAGTTATGGATGCACGACTATAAGTAAAGCATGAAAATCAGAACACAAGTTCTCACGATTGATTCCAGTAATCAAATCCAGGTGAGAAATCATGGTGTTGGTAGTCACTTGACAGTTTTGAGAACAAGTATGAAATTGGGTAACTAAAGGTCTCCAAATGTAAACTTGTATTAAAGACTTTAGAAAAAATGTGGAGGATGTCTGCTGAGAAGCACTCCAGTGGAGAAGTGGGGAGTTACAGAAAGGGTAACCTTTGTCACTGGACATGATGATGGTGACTATAATAAAAGCTAATAAGGCCGGGTGCGGTGGCTCACACCTGTAATCCTAGCACTCTGGGAGGCTGAGGCGGGAGGATCGTTTGAGCTCAGGAGTTCAGGACCAGCCTGAGCAAGAGCGAGACCCCGTCTCTACTAAAAATAGAAAGAAAGTAGCCAAACAACTAAAAATAGAAAAAATTAGCTGGGCATGGTGGCGCGTGCCTGTAGTCCCAGCTGCCTGGGAGGCTGAGTCAGGAGGATCACTTGAGCCCAGGAGTTTGAGGTTGCTGTGAGCTGGGCTGACGCCACGGCACTCTAGCCCAGGCAAGAGAGTGAGACTCTGTCTCAAAAAAAAAAAGCTAATAAGCATTGCATATTTAAAATATCAAGGATAAGGGAATTATGGTTTATGTATAGGGTAATTATTCTTGGCTGATTTAATGGAGTTCTTTAAGTACCAAAAGGCAGGAAGATAATTGGGAATCAATCAATAAAGCCATTTCAGGATCTCACAATATTTGATAAAAAGTTACAAAATTTAGCAAATAAGGAAGTTTTATATAGACTAATCAATTTTAGTTCCTTGTCCTTATGCCTGATTTGACTATCAGGGTTACAAGACAAGGTTTAAGATAGGAAACAAAGATTAGGAAAGGCGTTTGAATGGATGTTGTTAGAAATGGTGTTAGGAAACTGGACATATTAACTCTCATATGAATCCTAAACTGTGTAGAAACCCCAAGCTCCAATGAAGGTTAGGTTCATTAGGATAGACTACTAGAAGGCAGTGACCATTTTTAGTATGGGTAGGAGAAAGAAGATAAGGGAAGGCCTGAAATCTCCAGGGTTCAAGAGGCAGCATTCTGCATG